TTTAAAATATTTTCTTGATACTAAAAATTAAAATATCAACTATTAACAGGCAAGAAACCCAAAAGAAAAAATCACATCAGAACTTATATTGTCAGAAGGAAAGAAAAGATAATATAGTAAAACAAGTCAAATGTTACATGAGCTTTATTTAGTTTCCCAGGCTCCTGTATGACCATGCCCTAACATAAACCTCAGTTATCTATAATTATTTTCCCATATTTGTGACATTAGCATCTGTGGCATTCTACTTATCTAAAGTTATGTAGAATAATATTTTTCTTTTACACTCACTGCTTGAGTGCTGACTTAGAGGTAAGCTTTTGTGTGTATACGTAAGTATTTGTACTTTTGCTTTATATAAGATGAAAGCATCTAAAATCCAATACAACTAAACACTAACAGCCAGATTAAAGCCGTAGGAAAGGGAAATGGCTGTATACCTAAATTATCTTGTTCCTTATGACAGAAACTAAAAAGATAAAAACAAAATATAGTAACAGAATGTCAATCATGCTAACAGCAAAAACAGCAGTATCTGACACGATTATTTAATAAGAACTAGGACTTACATTGAAAAATGGTCCAGTTGTGAATAGCCATTTTAGAATGAACACGGTAACTATTAACATCTCAACTGATTCACAAAAATTACACCAAAACAATAGACCCAAGTTCAATCTCATGTATGAGTAGGTGTCAAAAATGGCCTGAAATGCATATTAAAAAAAAAAAAAAAGGAGTGTGACTCATTTGTTTCTCTATCAAAGAAATGACTGTTTAATTATATAGCTTCTTGGTGACCTAATATTGCTAGAGTATATTCATTTGACTATCTCCCACACAATGGCTCAAAATTTGAGATAATTACATTATTCTTAAAAACACGGTACCACACTCACTACTAAAATTGAGAAGCTGTCAGTCCCAACTTAATGCCTTTATCAGTAATGAAAACAAAAGGCAACAGCTGAACTTTGGGTGTCCTTCAAAGACAAATCACATGGGACATCACAAATCCTTTCCAGCATCTATCTACCTACCTAAGGTGATGTAGACATCCACAGAATGGCAGGGCCAGCCACACCAAAGCTAAAGAGAACTGACTTCCTGACATACACAGCCACCATTTCCCCATCACCACTAAGCTCACAAAATCCTACCACTTTATTGGGATGTTAGTGATTTCTTTTTCCCTTTACAGATGTCCTAGATGTTCTTTTCAATGTATTATGACTATAACAAAATTTGGGGAGGAGGGATTAAATAATACTATTTGCCCAGAGGCATGCTGTTTCTCAAAAGGAAAGATATTGCTCTCTTCACTGGACTAATGAGGCAGGTTCTTTGGAAGACATATTAATGTGTTAAACCAGGGTACAATTCCCACCAAAGTACACCTTAAATGGTACCCTTGAGGACTGAAAAAGATACAAATGTGGGAGGGGAGGCAGGAGGAGGACTGAGCTAGGTAAATGTTAATTGAATAAATGTTCACTGTACTGTAAGTATTTACACTTTGGAGAATAACTGGCTTTATCAATGAGAACGTAACAAAATGACAGCAGTATAAAACCAGTTTTCTTTATTCCATAAAGAGAAAAGATGAAAAATTTCTGCCCCTTTATAAAATTTTAAAAGTAAAATTGTCAAAATTTTGTGGAATTTAATTTATTGATCTTAAAATGTCATTAAATCAAATTTAGTACCAAAAATATGCATTTTTAAGGACTATTCTCCTCAACAAAACTTTACTGATAGTGCTTTTTTTCTTAAACTTAAATTATTCTGGCCACAGAAACTAAAACTGCATTTCCTCAAAGCAGATAGAGAAGACATACTATTCCCATTTTTAGACATGGGAAATTACAATAAAGGAAAAGCTCAGTGAAATACTTCAAGATGGTAACAGAGCCACAGAAGCTACACTTCCTGCTTTGTAAGGATTAATGCACATATAACATAGAACACTTCCATTTTTTCCAGTGGGCCCAAAACAGACTGTGCCCAATCTACAAAACTATGGAGATTCAGATCCACTAAGTCAGAAAAACTGACACTGGCATTGTTAAAGGTATTCACTAGAACGCTAACAGAAGACATTCATTAAAACAATGGAAGACAGGGGCGCCTGGGTGGCTCAGTAGGTTAAGCTTCTGACTTCAGCTCAGGTCACGATCCCATACTCCGTGAGTTTGAGCCCCGCGTCAGGCTCTAGGCTGATGGCTCAGAGCCTGGAGCCTGCTTCCGATTCTGTGTCTCCCTCTCTCTCTGACCCTCCCCCATTCATGCTCTGTCTCAAAAATAAATAAACATTAAAAAAAATTTTTTTTCAACAATGGAAGACAAAGCATTTATTAATTCTGATGCCATGGTTATTTAAGTTTTCATATTTGAAGAACAAGAGTCTACTCTTCCAGGTAAATTTGTTTGTCATTTTTAAGGCTTTTGTATGAGTATGTTGGAGGGGAGGGGCCTTTTTGGTATTTAAACAATACTATTTTAGTGAGACAGAACATGTTATAACGTGATAGCAGCTACTGCAAATTCCTGACTACAAAGGTCTGAAACATAAAATCAACTTACTCTAGTACTTGAAAATGAGGACATCGACATTTCCTTCTCTTATAGGCAAAGAGCAAGGGAAAGAGAAAATTTACCAGAGCCATTACACGTGACTCTACAAGCAAAAGAAGTGAGAAGTGATTTCCTTTTGACTGGGAAAGGTCATCACAAGGGAACTTTCTGAAGTAATAGAAATATTCTGTATCATAATCTGGGGCGTGGTTCCATGGGTGTAAGCATAGGCAAAAATTTACAGAGCTTTGACTTACAAAGCTGACAGACACTTTGAGTTACACATTTTATCTTTTGTAAACCATCCTTCGATTTTAAAAGTAAGAGCATCCAATACAAGCAAAGTAGTACAATCAGAAATCAAAAATAAGAATAATGAAATCAGAATATGTTAGAAAATAATGACCTTTCCAGGATCTAGCACAGCATTGTACACAGGGTAGATAAACAAGTATTTATTACAAAAATTTAGTGAGAATGTCTTAGTTGGTCTTGAAGATCCCTTCTGAACTAATGAGAACTTCAAATGTGGCTTATTTTTCTGAATATTCTAAATATGGACAGTTTCAGCCTATAAGGCCTCCAAATGGCAAAAATTAAAGGCCTAGAAAGCTAATCTCAAAACATTAGTTGTCATAACTCTGAGTATAGATTTAGGGCATCTCCTTATCAAAAAAGAAGGCAGTCCATTCTCAACACTTAATGACCACTGACAGTATAAACCTATCTATGGTCTTGTAGTGATAAACAAGAAGCAAAACTTAATACTCAATTAGGTTTAAAAAAATGCAAACATCTGCATGATGGTGCTCTGTCTTCTGAATGGTATTCTGTCTGTTCAGTAATCCAGTAGCTCCAGAAACCAAAAGCAACCAGCAGTTTTCAAACATATCACATAGCATATGGGTGACATTATTAAAAGATCAAGTTTGATAACCAGGCAAGGCTGTGTCTGCTAAGTAAATCTGGCCAGACAATGTTAGAGTCCCTAGTCCAAGAGCCCAAAGACTCCCACATGAGCTTCAACTTCTATTTTCACCTAAAAAAAGTATTAAGACTAATTTCCCTTTAGTAAATCTCTCTGTCCATACCTAAGTTCCTACATAAACAAAATTCCATGACTAAAATGAAACTGTAGAAGGTCTTTTCCACTTAATAATCTGTTCCTACTTGTTGGGTGACAATAATTCTAATTGTACCATTAAGTGAAAATTCAAAAAATATTTTTTAATTTTTAGAAAATAATATTGTCATATGCTGAATGGAACATTATGTCTCACTGTTATTCTTTCTTGACCTTGATTAGTCAGTGTGGTTAATTTCAGCAATGAGAAGCTTCCATGTGAAACAACAAAAATAATCCTTTAAAAAGCCAATCAAGAAACAAAAAAAACCTGAGGATTATAAGCTCTCCTGAAATACAACTATTCTAGAATAACCATCAGCTGCACACAAATAGATGCAGTGATCACCTAAGATCAGAAAGAAAATGGTGGATTATAAATTCTTAAGAAATGCATTTCCTAAATTGCTGCCCTAATCTTCTTCTCCCCACAAAGGTAACATCTTGCCAATTTTTAATGTTCTGGGCTAGCAGGTTGAGTCTCTTCAGAAACACTTAACTGTCACCTTTCCTTATGGATAATGACAAAATATTCTGCAGAGCCTGAATAACTGCATGGACAAGTTATATTATTCTATATCCAACATTAAATAATCCTCAAATTAGTTAGGCTAATACCAGTTATAGCTGTCTACAAGTGCTGTCCAGCCCAGCCCATTGTGCAGGGCCTGCTCTGCACCACAGCAATTTCATTGTATAAGTTTTAAGACAGATACGATGCTGCTAGACTGTGACGTCAGCCAGCATATCAACATTGAAACCGTTGTGTAAAAAAAAAAAAAAAAAAAAATCTTTACTATAAAGCTTACTTCTTATTCTTTAAATCTGCATATAATATCTACTCCTATGCTTCTGTAAAAATATGGAGGAAGAGGATATAATGACACCTTTTTGTCCTTTTAAATAAAAACTGTAAACCCTTTTTCCCTTTCTAATAAACACTATCATTTTAGATCCTCCCAGTTTCTACTTTAGGGTTTAAGGACTATTATAGAACCCACAACAATAGATCGGTGACAGACTTGATCCCATCAATTAACACGTTCTGGGGAGACTGCCTGGATTCCTGTCTTCCTTCCTCCCTCTTGAAGGCCTGGTTTTGGCCACACTGACATCCCTGGCCTTAAGGATGAATAACCCAGTTAAGGAGGAGTCCCTTCCCTGAGACCAATTCCTTTGTAATTAGAGCCAAAATACAAAGTCTATTAATGACCTATGGCAATGTGATATGAAGTCCAAGCCAACGAAACCATGACAGCAAACAGATTTCTGAATAGCAAAGAAGTGGGATCCATTTACTTACATGAAGATTCAGTGCCAAACATGGCTGGCTCCAGAGGCTGCTTTAAAAAAATCAGAAGAAAGAAAAAAAAAGGGAAGGAAATAAAATCGAGGAGGGTGTACGCGGGAGAGTGAAAAGATGAGCCGCTACACAGCAGGGGTCATGAAGACACACAATGCAGTCCAAGCTGTGTCCAGCTGCCAGATTCTCCTCTTACAAGCTTCAGTGTTCTCCCGTGTGATTGAAAAGCAAGGTCTCCTACAGCACAAAAACCCGAAGAGCTGCTTGTGAAAATCCAATAGGGGAAGGCAAGCCAACGTGGCTCTTCTGGGATGCAGTGAGGCAGGACTAGGTAGCAGCAGGGGCACGACTGGAAGCAGCAGCAACAGCGGCTACTGCAATCCCCAGCCCTGCCGTAGCAGTAAGACAATAGCAGGGCTTATGCATACACCGATGACGTCAGAGACACTGCACAGACGGACTGCGCTGCTTGAGCCAGAGGCTCCAGGGGCTTCAGGGGAGCAGGCGATTCAAAGGGGAATTCCTTTGTCACAACATGGACAAGACCAAGAGCCACATATATATTCACCTTCCTGACAAGATCTTCAACCTGTAATACCAAGCACTAACAAGGACCTCAAAGAAATCTAAATATTGGCTTTACAGCAACTAACCACAAAGATATCATGAAGATCAAGATTCTTGGTTTCATGCAGCAATTAAACTTTTCAAGGGAATTAAGAATATCAGAAATGAGAAAAATAAACTGCCTTTAAAAATAACTACAGAACTCCTGTTTTTTCTCTACACTTATGGTAAACTGACAGATCAGAGGCTGTAAACTCAATCACAATTACGTGAAAATATGTATACTATTGCATACACATTCTGGGCATATTAATACACCCACAAGTATACCCATTTATTAACAGTAAAATAACAGTGCAAGTGCTTAAAACACTGTGTGGCACACAGTGAGCTCACAAACATCAGCAATTACATTATTAGTTATGTTGCAACTGTTATTCAGATGTGAAAACCACAGCTCTAGGAATATATTACCTACATATATTTCTCTTATCCCATTCCTTTGGCCTTATTTTTATTTTGCCTTCCTGTCCTTTTCTAGAGTAACTCAGTCATTTTAAGGCTGTGTGCACACAGGCTGTACACACCTGTGTGTCAGTGGGCACATATGACCAACAAACACATTTCTTTTTACTCTATTCTTACAAGGAAATAATTGAAGATATTGTTATTTTGTCACTTGATAAATAAAACTCTTCCTGCATTACCTTTACTCTTAGAAATCTGTTTTTTAAACTAGAAGTCTATAGACTATCCAACAGAAGCAAAGCAAGAAATTTTGTTTTAATGTTTTAAAAACACTGAAATGCACAAAAAGTGTGTGTGTGTGTGTGTGTGTGTGTGTGTATTCCCATAATCCCACACTTTTAAAATCATATAAAATAGGAGATTCAAGAGCTCAAGATTCCTCTCTATCCATTCATCCAAGGTATGTATCCAGTATTTTCTTAAGATTTACAAAGACGTGTCTTCATATAATATAGTTTTTAAACATTAAATTCTGATAGGAATGTGAAACTGTAAGTTACCATCTAAAAACATCATTAATAGCTTTTCTGGTCAGTATATGTGGATCCATCTCATCCTTTTAATAGTTGCCTAATATTCCATTGTGTGGTTATAGAATAATTTATTCAAGGTAACTTGACCTTTGCTTACTGAAATGCTAAACCAGTGCAATGATGTTACATAAGATAATGAACAAATATTTTGTTGTAGGAAAGAATAACAATAACTAATATTTACTGAATATTCACTATGTGCCAGGTACTATTCTGGGAAGTTTACATGAATTAACTTATTGAATCTTTGTAACAATCCTACAATGTAGATACCATTAATTTCCACATTTGATAAATGTTGAAATAATTCTCCAAGGTCACACAGGTACTGAACAATAAGCTGGGATTCAAATCTAGGTAGGTTCCAAAACATTTGCTCTTAACTGCTCTTCCATAATGCTTCTTGAGAATTAACAAATACTTAAAATTATATTTTAAGTATGCAACTAAAACAAAAGGAAAATAGATACCAACTGAAAATGTGGACAAAAATATTCTTAAAAGAGAAAGGTCAACAGAGAAAGCTAAAAATGACAGAAAGAACTATGCCAAAAATTGCAGGAATTAAGAAAAATGCATCCTCCCAAATTATCAGTCATGTTAACAACCAGTGGAGAATATCAATAATGGCATGAAGATATAACTGTAGGGAAGTACAAAAGGCAATACCCTTCAAAAGGGTTGAAGCCAGAATATTATCTTACGTAACATCTATTTTAAATTGCATACCAGATGTTGTACACGAATAGTCACACAAACGGTGGATGGATGTGGCCAGAAGAAAGGCAAGAGGAAAAGTAGAATGAGACGATGATCTTGGGTAAGAGATATTTTCCACCAGAGGCCACGGTCTATAGGCAGTAACTGCTTTGCCAAGTCATTGATGTAGCTCCTCTCAGCTCATACGTGAGGGTGTACATATGCATATGTAAATGAACTTTTCTGAGTGCCTGTATTTATTTCTTGGCACTGACTTCTGAGAGTAAGTTAAAGGCTGCAATATTTTGCAAGAAGTCAACTTTTTAGATAACTATACCAGGGTCACTATGTTAAAACAATAGATATCTCACTTGCCAGCAAAACTGTACCCAAATGACAGCCTCTGACTCCTATTAAGGTTTCTATAACCTCTGGAGGTCTGAGGTATTTCTAAGTACTTTAGTATGTTGGAATCCATATCACTGAAGGCCCATCTTTGACAAAACAGATTCCAAAAATTTAGTTTACTATTTTTCTCTCCTCTAGGCACCTGGCATGAGCTCACAAAATGAAGACCAATTTTAATGTGTTGCCGAAAGAAAATATAATGAAATAAAACTGATCTGATGTCTTCCACACCCCTCAAAAAAAATCACATAATACATTCCAAGACCAAAATTAACTTTGAACTATCAATTCTGTCTAATTATGTCTATTTGCCTGTAACCTTGCCCTTTTTATTAGCAAAGAGAATACTGTTAATTTTAGTATAAAATTAGCAATGAAAGGAAAGATCAATATTCAAAATGATTTAGTAGCCAAAATAATCATTGTTAGAACACTGCTGATAAACAAAGACAGTAGTGAAAATCTTAAACTAAGTCAATAGTCACTTTTAGAGGAAACCCCATTCATAAATCAATCAACAACTTACTGTTGGGAGCTTACTGTTCTGCACTCTAGGGGTACAGCCAAGCACAAACTCCCTCCTCTATGGAGCTTACAGTCTAGTGGGTGAGACAAACAAATATGTAATATGTCAGATGGCGGCATGTGTTACAAAAAAAGGTAAGAGGAACCCAAGGCTGAGGAATGACTGAATGTGAGGGTTATTAGTTCAGATAAAACTGTCAGGCAATGCCACCCTTAAAAGATGACATTTCAACAGAGACCTGAAAAAAAGTGAAAAGAAACCACATGGATAACATGGAAACCCCGTGGGAGAAAGAGCATTCCAAGAAAAAAAAAAAAGATAAATCTATTCTTGAATCATCAAGAACCATTTTCTATTGGATGACAACCCCTTCAGTGCCATGATGATGTCATTACGGGCAATATAGTTATGCTTCATGAACTGTGCTGACAGTAAAATAAATTCTCTTTTTCAAATCCAAAAGAATTCACCCTCCCATGAACTGAAAACATATGCGTTCTTCACTTCACAGTTTACTAAATATACCTATATTTGCAAATATGTAAATGTTTATAAAAATCACCATAGGTGACAACATCCAAAATAGCTTCCTACCTCATCAGACAACTAATTTAATTAGTTTATCTATTAATGTGGTAAGAACTTAAGCCACACATTCTCTCTAGAGTACATACATAAACTAATTCTGACGGTGTCATATCTGGAATTTCTCTGGAGCCATCTCCTTTGCTCACACTAAAGTTTTCTTAGTATTCCTCTTTTCTTAATTTTTGTAAAATGTTTATTTATTTTGAGAGAGCATGCACGTGAGCGTGGGGGAGGGGCAGAGAGAGGGAGAGAGAGAAGCCCGAGCAGATTCTGTGCTGTCAGTGCAGAGCCCAATGCAGGGCTCGATCTCAGGAATCATGAGATCATGATCTGAGCCAAAATCAGGAATCAGATACAACCAACTGCACCACTCAGGTGATCCTCTTAGTACTCCTCTTGATGTCTGAGTAGCATGTTAAAGTTGTGTGTCTTTTGGAATACCATCTATACGTTTATAAAGTATTATCTAAAAACAGAGAAATGTTTTAGTGGCAATATATGACCTATAGAAAAATGAAAGAATCAATGGTTCTGTTCTTTGGGAAAAAGGTACAAACTTATAATTGAAAACATACTCATTGTAAAACTCCCTGATAAGATTTTAGAAATTTCACTTCTTTGCATATGGCTATAAAATGTGTTTCTTCCTACTTCCACACGGTACCACACATACAGCCTTCTGAAAGTTGTCTATTTTATTTCTGAACCGTGGAACAAAAATTCTGGCACACTTACCTTATGAGAAAAAAAATTCAAAATACACACACACACCACCACCACCACTGCACACACATACGCACACGCTATTATATTGGCTTTATAGAAACTCTAAAATAGAAAAATATGGATTTACAGAAAAAACAGACTTGGGGCAAATAGTTACTTTAAAATGTCTTATTTTCAAAAAACTATTTACCACAGAACTCCTTTACATAGTGAGCTCCTAAAAGTTACATTTTAAATTGTCAATTTCACAAAAAAATCACAATTTGATACCATATTGTCAAGGATCCACACATACATCAACAGAGATCATTTATAGAGAATGTAAGAAGAGCTTAATCTAAATGCACACTGATATTATCATTCCACTGGGTATGGAAGGTGGGTCTCCGCCCTGGTGGAAAATCTTCCAAAAGCCTTTGTTCTTTAGTTTAAAAGGAATCTGTCAGAAAACAGTGCCACCATTACCCAAAAGTTCAAAAATGGAAGGTAATATAATTTTGAATTAAGGTAATTAATTTTGAATTTGCTCACAAATTTTGGCAAAGGCTCACAGCCATTCCTCCATATCATCACCTCACCTCCTCATCCCGCCTTCACCCCCTCCAGTCTAAGGGAATCCTCCACTTACTCATCAAGCAACCAGTACCCATGGTTAGTCTAACCTTAACTTTATTTCCAAACCTGTCCCAATTTACCATTCAGAAACTACACTTTGGGAATAAGGTTATGCAGCTTAAAAAGGAAGAGGCTAGTTATCCATCCAAAAATTCTAGACACATTAATACTCAGAAAATTTGCGATAAAAACTGAAATTCTGTAACTCACTTCG